TGGGATCTGGAGAAGCAAGAAGCCTCTATGGTGGACAGAGCAGAATCCAGACAGGAGATAGGGGAGGGCTGGGGTGTGGTTCAGTCGGCCGAGTGCTCACCGAATAGGCTGACAGCCGTGGGTTCGGTCCCCAGGACTGCATAAACCTGGTGTGAGATGTGTGCCTCTAACCCCAGCCTTGGGAGACAAAAGCAGGGGGAACAGAGACTGGGTATCGTCCTCAGCTACCCAGTGAGTTGAGGTACATGATGCCCAGTGGTGTGAAAGAGAGACAGGGACCGAGAAATGGGGGGCCGTGGCTGGTGTGCGGGGTAGATGGGACAGAAGTTTAAATTGTAAAGGTGGGCTAGGAGTGAAGACCCTTGTCAGTTCCCAACCCCTGTAGACAGGGCAAGCGAGTCACCTCCTCTACTGTGATCTCATCCTTACCCTCCTCCATGCCACAGGGTCTGTGGGCCATTCCATTTTGTGGCAAGGGCGGAGGGCCGAGGAAACAAAGCGAAACTGCACTTAAAAGGAGATGAGCGACACCAGGGATGGCGTCACAGGACTGTGATCCCAGCGCTTGGGAGACAGAGGCAAGAGTTCAAGGACTGGGAGTTCAAAGGCGCCTGGGCTGCACAGTGAGTTCAGGCCTACCTTAGGCTGCAGTATGAGACTCCTGTCTCAAACCAGACCGAGCAAAGTAAAGCAAGAGACAAGCCCCAGACAGACAGACATCTGGGTTTTAGGTAGCGGAGCTCAGAACATAGTGCTGACCACCCCTGGCTTTTCGGACCGAGTCAAGTCTCTCTGAGGCTCAGTGGTCCCAGCCTTAAGTGGGGATGGCTTGAAGATAATACACAGTCTGCCTCCATGAGTTGTCAAGGGAGTTCGATGCCTAAGGAAGCACAGACTAATCAGAGACTCATGGACCACAGCCCTCCCCACCCTGGGGCCACAGCTCCATGCCTGGTTCAACTCCGTCATGTACTAAAGACTGACGACATAGTCCAAAGAGCTATAGGGGTGAGCCTGCAACCCAGGACCCCTCTTCCCACACCAAAGTGACTGTTGAGAATGTAACCGTGGCCTTTTTCCTGGCCCACAGCCCCTGCGCTGGGCTGAGCCTCTTCCTTCAGTGTCCCAGACCAAGCAGAACAAAACCCCTTCTATGAAATCCCCAAGGTTCCACATCAGCTCCCAAGGGGATGATGGGTGGGATTTCAAGACAGAACCCTTCCCCGTGTGCGGGCACAGAAGATCTGGGGTAGAAATGGAGCTTCCCAGGTGGGTAGAAAAGGAGATCTGGTCTCTCCTTTTAATCTCCTAAGAGAAAGGGAGTCCTAATACCGATTTACAATTGGTTCCTTCTTCTTTATGAGTCTGCCAAGTCAACTGTGTCTCATTTGTAAATCAAAACAATTAAAAGAAAACACTTTTTTTTTTTTTTTAGGTTTTGGTTTTGAGTTGATTTTGTTTTGTTTCAGACAGGATCTCATATAGCTCGGACTTCCTTCAAACTTGCTATGTAGCTGAACCTGCCCTTGACTACTGATCCTTCTGTGTCTGTCTCCCAAGTACTGGGATTACAGGCACCAAACCCAAGCGAATAAAGAAGAGTTTGAAAGTAAACAGTTGGCGATGCAGTGTGAGGTAGAAACAGTTTATGATAGAAAGACTGCAAACAAATGATGGATCACTGGATTTTTTAAGAAATCATCTCCCCAATACCAACAAACGGCAACCCACCAAGATCTACGACTATATTCTGGAAAGATCTACAGCCATGTTTCTAAAACATATTCTTGGAATCTTATAACAAGATTTTGGTCTAAAAGCCTCTTTAAAAAAAAAAATGCCAAGACAGAGTCCACTTCAGTTTTCCTTTGGAATATTTTTCTCAGTCGTTACAAATACCAACCCCAAGCACGAGTTAAGAATCTCAGAAAAGACAGAGAGAAGGGAGGTAGGCAAAAACACCAGGACTTACAGTTTTCCTGAGCCTGGAGGCTTGAATCTGGAAGAGACAGGGAAAAAAGAAATCTGTTGATTTCACTAACTTCAAGTCTCATGAAACTGAAGAGAAAATAGGTTCAAAACTCACAGAGCAGCAGTGTGAGCAGGACAACCCGGCGCATCTTGCTGACTGAGGCCCACCTCAGCGGCATCCTGAGAGGAAGACTCGCAGATTAAAGCTCACAGTTAGTTTGGCCTTCCGGCCATGCCTCAGGGGCAGAATTCTCTTCCCGTCACAGACCGAAACCCGCCTTGGGGAAAGCAGAAACTACTCTGACAGCTTCTCCAGGCGCCCGAGAGAGACCAGCTCTGGTGCTTGTCAGGTGATGGTGGCCATAGCTGGAAACGAAGAACAATGAGGTCTGGCCTGGCCTGATATCTCCTCAGGAAATGACTGGCCTTCCGGAGGGACCACGGAATCCAGTGGCTTTGTCTACAAGAGGAGAAAACAACAAGAAGTCAGAGGTGACATTTGCCTCAGAGTTCTTGAGTCTCTTGCCTCATCTGGGTCTGGGGACTCCTTCCTCCAACCAAGTGAGGGGTTCTCCCCTCGGCTTCTACCAAAGTGCTTTTGCGGGATACCCAGTAAGGCCTGTCTGCCTTTCCTGTGGGCTCCCCAAGGGGCCTGTGTCCACACAGCATAAATCTGGGCCTCCTGACCTTCCACAGCTAGTTTTTCTGATAATGAGCAGTGTTGTGAGGGGTACCGTACCGGGGCACCGGGCTCGTGATTCAGTAGAAATAGGGACTTTCCTCAGCTCTGCAGTGGGTTCTAATTACTGACCCAGGCACCACTCAGAGCCCCCTTTGGCCATACATAGGTGTATGTGTGCATATGTAGTCCGTACCAGACCGTAGGCAGTTTCGTCTCCCCCTACCCCCAACATTTAAAAAAAAAAAACAACAAAAAAAAGCCATTTATTTATTTGTGTATGCGGAAGTGGGATCGAGTGCATGTGGGCTGCTGTGTGTTTGGGGGGGTGTGGGGGTGGAGTCAGAGGCCAACCTGTAGGAATCCTCTCCTTCTTCCACCGAGAGGGTCCCAGGATCAGACTTAGAGCATCAGGCTCGGCAGCTGGCACCTTCACCCAGTGAACCATTCTGCACCCCTTTATTTATGTATCTTCCTGAGAGTATGAACATGTGGGTCATGAGAGGGGTGTCTGTGTGCCTGTGTGTGCCTGGAGGCCAGAGAGGGTGTCAGGTCCTCCAGAACTGATGCTGCTGGGCGACTGGGATCTGAACTCCCGTCCTCAGGATGGCTCAGCGCTGAGCCATCTCTCCAGTCCCAGCTCAGCCTTCTCCCCCCTCCCTACATCCCCCCCCCCCCGCCCCGAGGGTGTCAGGAATGCCAAGCGTGTGCCCTACCACTGAGCTAACATTCCCTCTTGCCCTCCTTCATTTCTTCCTTTATTCTGACGCAGGGACTGGCTAAATTCCCCCGGCTACCTTTGAACACGAGCCTCCCTGTGATGACAGATGTGTGCGGCCTTGCCTCCTAGGGAATGTTCTAGACTATAAAGGGGTTTCTCCCACTGTGATGTTTGAAAGGTTGTAACACTGTCTGGGGGAAAGGCAGACCCTAAGCCTCCATCACCCAGCCCTTGCTGACCCCTCCAGGCTGAAACCCCACCACCACTGTGGTTTCCCTACACTAGGCTTTGGGTGCTGAAATGTGCCGTTCCCAGAATGCATCACAGGCGTTTCCCATCGCTATTTGCCCATCGAAGCATCCCTTCCTCTCCGCTTTGCTGACTAATTATTACTCATTTTTGCTAGCTCATTTCAGATGTCAGTTTCTCTAAAGATTTCCCCACGCTTTCTCGACTGAGAGGACTTCCTACATGCCCTTTACCTCCTTCATCTTCTCCGAGTCAGGCCCGCCCTACAGCGTGTGGCGACAGCCTGCTCTCCTCAAGTAGACTGACGTGTCAGTGATCATACTTAGCGGTCAAGAAGCACTAGTCAGGGGCTAGAGAGATGGCTCAGTGGTTAGAGCATTTGCGCTCCTCTGGAAGACCACATCAGATAGCTCACACCTGCCAGTAACTCTAGCCACAGGGGAGCCAATGCTCTCTTCTGGCCTCTGAGTGCACTTGTGTAGGCACACACACACACACACACACACACACAGAGCAGACACTCATATAGACACATACATATACATATACGGAAATTAAAAAAAATTAAAAAGCTGAAAGCTGCTGGGTAATGATGGCCTTTAATCCCATCACTCAGGAGACAGAGGCAAGCGGATCTCTGAGTTCGAGGCCATTCTGGTCTACAGAGCGAGTTCCAGGACAGCCAGGACTACACAGAGAGACTTTGTCTTGAAAAAAAAAATGATAATAATAAATAAAAAAACATGAGAGACTAGAGCTACAGCTCAGCTGGCGGAGTGTTGGCCCAGCATTCGGGGAGACTGGGGTTCAGCACCACATAAACCAGGTGCGAGGGCCATGTCTGCATCGCACTTGGGAGATGGCGGCAGCGGATCTGAGGTTAAAGGTCATTCTTGGCTACAGTGCGTTTAAGGACAGACTGGACTTCAGAGGACCCTGTTTCAAAACAAACAAACAAACAAAACACAAGAGTCAGGTATGGTGGCACACACCTTTCGTTCCAGGATTCTAGGGGCAGAAGCACACAGACAGAACTCTATGAGTTCAAAGCTAGACTAGAGTTCCAGGCCAGGGCCACATTGCAAGATTCTGTCCCAAAACAATACAAAAACAAACAAAAAAATCCCAAGGAGCATTAGTCCGATGTTTGTCTAGGCTAGTGACTGGAATTACTGTATTGTTAGAATTGGATTATTTCTGCTTTGATGGTGCCTTTCCCTTCCTTCCTTGGGATGCAGGTTGTCTTTCTGTACTGTGAATATGTGTTGCTCCCATTCGTTAATACATAAAGCCACTTTGGCCTATGGCAAGGCAGGATAGACACAGGCAGGAAATCCAAGCAGAGATAGAGGAGAAGAAGGGAGAAGTCTGGGAGACACCATGGAGATGTTTAAGAAGCAAGATGTGGAAGTAGCGGTAAGCCACCGGCCACGCGGCGGTACATAGATGAATAGAAATAGTATATTTAAGAAATGGTATGTTTAAGATGTAAGAGCTGGCTAGTAATAAGCCTGTGTCACAGGCCAAACAGTTTGTAATTAATATAAGCCTCTGAATGATTATTTAAAAGTGGCTACGGGACTACAGGCCCGGGGTGGGACAGAGAAAAGCTTCCTTCCTTCCTCCCTCCCTCCCTCCCTTCTTCATTTTAGGAACAGGATCTCATATCGCTTTGACCAGCCTTGAACTCACTATGTGGGGAACTCCTCGCTCCCTAACACTTCTGCTTGCATCCGGCATGCAGCAACAGGCCTGGCCTGCCATGCTGTGTCTGACGCACCACCCTTTACAGCTAACAGGGGTCACCGAAGACATTTCAGTGAGGACTAGTCTTCTCTGTCTCAAGGCAAGAGCCAAAAAATGATGGTTTCCACCTAGAAAATCATTCCTTGCTCTGACCTGTTTGATATGAGCTGTGGAAGAGCACTATACATGTAACCCCCTCCTTCCTCTCTCCCTCCCTTTCTCCCTCCCTCCCTCCCCCTCCCTCCTCTCTTCTTTTCTCTCCTTTCCTGTCTTCTTATATCTCTCTTTGTTTTTTTTTTTTTTTAATTTATTTTGTTTTGTTTTTTGTTCTTTTTTTTTTCCTTTGGTTTTTTGAGACAGGGTTTCTCTGTGTAGTTTTAGTGCCTGTCCTGGATCTCACTCTGTAGACCAGGCTGGCCTCGAACTCAGAGAGATCCACCTGGCCTTGCCTCCTGAGTGCTGGGATTAAAGGCGTGCACCACCGCTGCCAGGCAAGAGCAGTAAATATTCTTAACCACTTAGCCATCTCTCTAGTCCTCACATCCAGCATTTCTGTTGTCAATAACTCTATGGTATTCCGTATAGCAGCCCAAGGGACTAACCCACACATAGGGTAGCATCACACAGGATGGGAATCAGGACTTACTTCATACTTTGGGGGCCACTCTCAGCCTCCCACATGGAGTGTGTCACGGTCCACGTTACAGGTGTGGCCATCAAGGGCCAGAAGGTGATTCCAGCCAACTTCTCAGAATCCTATCTTATAAAAGCCAATTCGTTTGGGACTCAACAGTCACTGAACATCCTGTGTTGATGTCGACCTCCTCAGGACCTTGTGGGGGTGAAGCCTATCTCTGGAGCACCCTGCACAGAAATAACAGACCTTCCCAGGGCTGAAGTAATTCATTTCCCAATATCATTGCTTTCTCAAACCAGACCTCACTGGGTGAGGCTGGAGACTTCGAGGGGTCAGATGCTTCTCCATGACAGGCCTGGAACCAGAGGCCCAGGGAGGAGGCCATGGGATATGGAGTGGCTCTGGGCTGGACACCTAGGGAAGAGGCGGATGGCTGCCCTGCCTTCCAGAGCTTTGTGGGAGGCTGGTCCATCAGCAGATCTTTCCACGTTGGGTCATATTTTCCAGGCTGAGTGAGTGCTGGGAGGCCCAAAATAGGAAGGCCCAGGTGAGAGATGTGAGTGGTCCATTCTTTCTCTCCCGTCCATTCTCTCCCTCCCTCCCTCACCTCCCTCCAGCTCCCTCCAGCTCCACGCTAGACAATGCTGTCTGCCTACAGGACAGTTCCTCTGCTACTCTTCTGCCCGGTTGGCTAGTTTTCACTGTTGCTGATCTCAGGGTTTCCTAGAGTCCCAGCTAACCACTATATAGCATCTCCTCGTCCTCCTCCTGCACCGCCAACACTGCCTGAACCTCCCCTGCACTTGGACTACAGCCAGGTGTCATTAGGCCTGGTGAGGGTTTGGGTTGTTTTTTTTTAAGGCAGGGTTTCTTTGTGTAGCCCTTGGCTGCCCTGGAACTCCATCTGTAGACTCACAGACAGCTGACACCCCACCAGTTTGTATATACGTGCTGAGGATCTGAACTCACTCAGATCCCAATGCTTGCACACAGAGCAAGTGCTTTACCCACTGAGCCTTCTCCCTCCTGAGTCTTGACACTTGAATGCAGTAGATGGGGCCTGTTCTTGCTGCCATAGCAACCGTGATGCTATTAACAGTCAAAGCAGCTCCGGAGCACTTTTTGTCCTCGGCCTCCCTTCTCTCTCCTTTCTATCTCAGACAAAAGGAAATTTGGTAAAATAAGAGGAAGCCTCTAATTGGTTATCAAAAATTTAGGGAGCAGTTTACCCTGCCAGGTTTGGCTTGGGAGAAATGGCTGTGGTTATCTAGAGGTCAGCAGGAGAACCTTGGGTACAAACAGTAACACTGGTTGAAAGGACAGGCAGTCACTAGCTTATCACCAGGCTTTGATCCAGACGTTTAAGTTGGCCGCTGAGCAAGCTGACAAATACCCATTAAGTTCTCCAGCCACACCTTCCCCGAAGCCTGCTGCCCACAAGGAGGCTGAAAGTGGACTCTTAGGGTGTTAGGGCCTGGGAAGGAGGCTCACTGAGAAGACACTTGCATAGGAGATACAAGGACCTGGGTTCCCTGCTGGGAAAGGAAAGGGGGGGGGGAGGAAGGAAGGAAGGAAGGGAGGAAGGAAAGAAGGAAGGAAAGAAAGAGATGGAACCATTAGCCTAAGCCCAGAGTTCTGGCCTTTAGGCTTTGAACGCCTTTGGCCTCAGTGGGGAGAGGGGCACTTGAGGAGGCTAACCAGCTTGCTCCCTCCCAGCAGGTAGGACCCAGCTGCAGCATGTAGGACCCAGCAGCCTCTTGTCCTTAAGAATTTCTAAGTCCCAAGTCTGCAACTTTTACTTGGGAGGTAGGGGCAGGAAGATCAGGAATTCGAGTCCATCCTCTGCCACATGGCACTTTCGAAGCCAGCCTGACACACAGGAGACCCTATCTCTATATACATCACGCTGCTCCAGCCTTGCTAATGGTCTAGGAAAAGGTGGCAGCCATTTCTAAAACCTGGGATTGCTAGGCTGTAATAAGGACATAATAATACAGAATAAGAAATAATAGTAAATAAATAAATAATAATAAATATTTAAAATTAATAAAATTAAAATGATAAATAAAAATTCATAATAAATAATGATAAATCATCAAGAATAAAGCAGAATCCAATAGGTGGGGGCACAGAGTAATGGCTGGCTTCATGCTGCCCACTCTACAGTTTGCCCCATTTCTGCAAACCAACTCTGAGAATTTAAGAAAAGAAAAAGAAAAGGTTCATTAAAATACAAAGAAACATGTTAGGACAGCCTGGGATTCATAACCACACCCTGTCTCAAAAAAATAAAATCAGGAAAGGCGCAAAGCTACGCAGAGAAACCCTGTCTCAAAAAAGAAAAGTAAATAAATAAATAAAAATAAAATCAGGGCTGGGGTGTGGCTCAGTTGGCAGAGTCTTGCATAAACTGGATATAGGGGTTCCAACCTGTGACATCAGTACTCAGCTTGTCATGCAAAGGTAAGGGCCTGAGTTTGATTCCCAGCACCCACGTAAAAAACGGAGCCAAGCTGGGGAGGCAGAGACAAGTTGTGTGACCAGACTTTTCCTGGGGAGATGAGACACGTCTACTCACTCCAGAAAGGAAGCCCATAACAGACCAGAGTCCAACCATGGGTTTTATTGGAGTTACTTACAGGAATATGGGTGAAGGGTTCCTTAGAGGAGCAGAAATGTCTCAAAGACAGCTGCATGATCAAAGCCCATCTCAGCACGGGTGACCGCTCAAAGAAGCTGGGAACCTGAAGCACACTGCACAGCTTGTAGGCAGACCAACAGGCTGGGAAGTGTCCTTTCCAAGTGACCCAGTGGTCTAAACCTCTTCCAGGCAGCCAGGCTGGTTTCTGCTTCCTCTGAGCAGCTGCTCTGGTCTCAGAGTCCTCTTCACAGCTTGGCTTGTCTGAGAGGGACTCTCAGTAGTCTTGATTGCTTACTCTGACAGGGAGGGGCCTAGTGAATCTGCTCAGTTTCAGGGACTTCCTGAAGCTATTTTGTGTTTGTTTACCTTCCTGCTCAAGGAGCTTCCCTACAGGATGGAATGTTTCAAGAGGAGGAAACTGTCACACATCTGGAAGGAAGACCCTTGGGGCTCACTCCCAGCCTGCCCAGCTGTTGTCTGTCCCATTCAACATGCTTTTTGATGGCTTGCATGAAGACTTTTGGCTGTTTTTGTTTTGTTTGCAATAGGGTTTCATGGAATCCCTTCTGGCTTCAAACTCACAGCAAGCCTCCTGCCTCAGCCTTCTAAGTGCTGGGATTGTAAGCATGTACCTCCATGCCAATTTATGGAAGACTTTCACTGCTGGATCTGTAGCTCAGGTGTAGAGCATCCACCCAGTGTGTACAAGGTCCTGGGTTTGATTTTCAGCACAAAAGGGGTGGGGGGGAGAAAGAAAAAAGAACACCGCAGATCGGATGGCTTTTTACAAGATTTCCTGGCCAAAGTGGCCCACTCCTCACACCCCCCTGCACTGCTACTGTTTTCTCATGATTGACTATGGCATAGTCCTTAGATCAAGTCAAACCTCTATCCTCCCTGCTCCTGCGGCTTCCGCAAGTGCCCAGCACAGGCCACACAGCTGCAATTCACTCTTACGGGTTCAGGAAGTCCATCGGACAGGTTGGAAACCTTGTGCACAGGGTATCCTTCCCCCAGCCCCAGCCCCTTGGTCCTCTGTGTATAGCCACTTTGCTGGGTCACTTTAGTCCCAAAGCCAAGCTGATGGTGTCAGAGTACCCACTCAGATGCTCCATGAAGGGAGGGCGGAGGCCTCAGAGCCTGAGTGCACAGAGCTGAAGGAATTTCCTGGTCTTTTGTGTCGGGCATGACATGCAGCTACAAACAGTCAGAGAGATGGCTTCATTTTCAAGAGGCTCTATAAATAACCTGTGTTACACATCTACTTGACAAAGGCTGAAGATTAATCTTCCTCCATCTCACGAGCATGGAAAGGCGCCAAGCTCCTGGACCCAAGTCTTCCTCACACCCCAGCTCATCCAGAAAGACTGATCTTTACAAGGCCAGCATGGG